ACGAATCTTAACAATAAATATGCACAATACTGGGATAAGTCTTTGTGGGCCCCGATTCAAGGGTTCTACCCAAACCAAGTGAAGAAAAAGATTAACAAAATGAAATAGAAACGATGATATAAAAGTAAGGAAATAACATAGTTAAACTAATGAAAGACGTACCATGTTATGCCTAATCATGGTACAGAAGAAAAAAACAACAAAGACTAATTACGAATTCCAACATAACTTGGTATTAACTAATCTAAACAAGTGTATGTAAATAAGCCATTATAAATATGCAAAAAGAACATAGAATCTCCACATTAGGAACAGAGACTACTTAACGGAAATGAAAAAAAACAAACAATTGAAATCCGGTGGTGGAAAAAGGCTATCAAGATCTCTGTCCACCCGAACAGGGTCAGCTTCTACAGGAGGAATTTTTGACGAGAACCGAAGAATGAGGCCAACCTTTTTATTGTTCAATCTCTCGAAAGATAAACACTGATAAAAACCCATGCCGGCATCTGTGGCCTGTGAGATAGTGCTAGGTGTAGGCACGACCATTGAATTAATAACATTAGCTCCGGAATGTAACTGGAATAAGCTGGGATAAATGAAGGCATATTTAAAACTCCAGAAAATCTGTAAGTTATAATAAATGAAGACTACTTCACGAGTATATCAAATACGAACATGAAACAGGAAAGAATGACAAAAAAAATGTCCGAGTACAAGCACTGTCAAACGAGAAATAATAGTTCTGTAGAGGCACGTAGAGGGAGTCACATGCATCACGTGAGTGTACTATGCTTCTATTGCTGAAGAGGTGACGCATGATGATTTACATGAGAAACACATTGGAATTACTTGATTCCAATAGTGGGAAGCAGAAAACTTGTGGCATGTATAAACAAAAAGTTTGCATATAGGGGGCAGCAATGAACGAGAATAGCTAATCTTGTGGGAAGAGAGAGAAGTATCGTATTGGAATTTATCACACACTTTACAGGGCTATGGTCGAGACTGACACCATCAAAGTCACTTGTTGACTGTGGTGAAACACTTCTTCACAATTTCAAAGAGCTTAAGGATAATCACCTTGCTAGGATGCACAGATGCAACTGGTACATGTAAGATGCTATTATCCTTTATTCACAAATGAGCCCAGGCCCATTGTTTCAAACACTTGGATATGACTATGCTTTCTGGGCATTATTTTGCACAAAAGAAAGTCTGGACTGGTAGCAAGGTGTTCAGGCAATGATTTTGTGACACATTTCTGCTTCATGTCAAATGGTTTTTGTCACAAACATGGCACTGAATATAAAGTGCTACTGCTCCTCGACAATCCTCCAGCTAATTGATCAACTGACAATTTGCAGTCCCAGGTCAGAAAGGTTACTTCTATGTTTTTACCACCCAAAACAATTTGACTTCAAGAACTTTTGGTAGCAATAAACAGTCCTACAAGAACTGCCTTTTATCTCATTAAATTTTTTGAAGACCACAGTGCATCACTATCTATTCCTGAAGCAGATAGCAATCAGAAAAGCTGTTTGTCGGACTACTCAAGCATGGGATGAAAGTCTCTGATAGCATAAACAACAAATGCTTGGAACAATCCATTTCATGCTCGTTCTGATAACTGTTATTGTGGTGATGGTGAATATGCCTGTTATGAGGTCAAATAATGCATAACCAAAGAGACAACAATGACCCTAACACTTTACTCAAACATTATATAAATAAATCTTGCATATTAAGCCAAAGGTTTCAGGCTTTTAATTAGTTATCACACTCAAATCTTTGTCTCTCTCTCTCTCTCCATAACATGAATACATCTTGCACAAAAAATATTTCCTAATTTCCATAGACTAAAAGCATCACTTCATATTTTTCCATATTGAAACATTTTCCACAGACCTGTCCCTACTCTGCAAGACTGCTCAATTCCTTCTACATTAAGGAAGCTATGTATCAGCCTTACCTCTCAGTTTAGTATCATCATCAAACTTAGAACTCTTACTGTTTATACAGTAGTCCATATCACTGTCACAGATAATAATAGTAAATGTCCGAAAACAGACCCTTCATAGATCCCATTAGCCACATTTTTCCCAATCCGAATGGTACCCTCTGTGTTTTACCTTCAAGAAAATTTTTAATCCACCTTATGAATCTTTCACTAATCCCATAAAAGTCTAACTTACTAATCAACCTAATGTGAGGAATTTTATAAAAAGCCTTCTGGAAATTTAGGTACAGAATATCAACAGGAGTATCTCTCATCCAGACAAGAAAAAGTCCTACCAAAAAAAAACAAGATGACATTTTATTAGTTAGACAAGTAACCTTCTTCTAAATCCATATTGAAAACTTATGAGGTGGTATTGCTTAATATTTAGTTAATTATTATTTGTTTCATATTTTTTATGTACCTATTCCTGTCATTTTGTTATTTCTTGAGCTTATTTATGCATGATGCCATCTCACATCACAACAGAATTAATTGTAATATTTTTTCTCAGAGACAAAATGACTGATACTGAGATGTTTGCAATAGTCATATGTAAATCACTGTCACTTTATGTAAATAAGTTGATCAGATGATTTGTCAGTAGCTAATAACTGTCCTGCACAGAATTCTAATATCATCTGGTATCAAATAAAAAAAACTGAAGACTGATAAGCTAAATACTCAAGCTTGAGGAATTTTAAGTTGGATATTACATTATACTTCGTTAGCATCTAAATGTTGCAAGTTATAAGTAATCAGAAAATCTAGAAGTTTATTACCGGGGGGGATTGTGATAATTTACAATGTTTGATTTTATCTTTCTAGTACATTTTTCTTAACTTCTTGTGCCAAGGTTATATTGTTGGGTTAGAAATTTGAAGTGCAGCTGTGTTGTTTATAAAAGTCTCAGACCAGCATTATTGTGAGTATATTCTGTTTAACTTGTGAAAGTTTTGAAAAATATATTTGTTCTGTCAAGTATCCTGATATTAATTAATATTTCAATCAATTCTAGTGTACAATAAAATACTTGTTACATTTGCAGTTATTTAACAGCAACTAACTTACTCTTAACCCTAATATTTTGCACTTTAGTAAATGCAATATTATTCTCCTTTTCTCTCTCACACCCCATCTTTAGTTTTTTAATTGGAATTATGGTTAAAAGAACAAAACAGTTTTAGTTGCATGTTTGGAAGAAATATTAGTAAATATAACCTATAATTGGTTGCATATGTTACACTTTTTAATTATTTAAGTTTACTGCTAAGTTTTGATTTACTTTACAATAATAATAATAAAGAGCATGAATGGCTAGACTTATCACACCCAAAATAAAATGCACTTGTCATTTTTGTGCTTCATTCTTCACACCAAGTATTCAAACAAGCATTCAGTGTACCTGTAAGAGACTATGGATATGAAAACATATGTCACATTCTCTCACAGTAAACACATTGATCAGTGTCTAATATTAATATGAAATTATTTCATATTTACTACATTTCTAAATAAGAAATATTTATTTTGTCATTCTTAATTTATACTAAACAAACTGAAACCTTTACCCTTTTTTATTTACATCAGTGACAAAGGAATGGTCAATGAATTACTTAACTCTGAGCGTTGCTATCTGTAAGGATACTGCTGCTTGAAGAAAAAATTAAGGCCATCTGGTGAGAAGGGTAAATAACTAGAAGATGGTGTTTAATTATAATAAATACAAGGTAATGCATGTAGGCTATCATAACTTAAGTCAAATATAATTTTGATGGGAATCACCTGAACATGTTATGGGAAAAAAAAGGACCTTGGTGTTTTGGGTGATCACTGTCTTATACCATCCAAGCAGCGTGATGTTGCTGGTAATCGGGTATATAGGATTTTATGTTGTATTTACAGAAGTAGCAAATATGATGAATAATCTATGTTTACTACAATGTGCCCAGATCACCCAAGCATGATGGGGTCTAGAGGTAGGTTTTCATGGTCAATGAACCCAAATTTGACATAGGAGTTTATGTTCCCGACCCCCTACTTGAGACCTTAGAGAGTATCATGTTTGAAACTATGTTTATACCCCCAATCATAAATTAGTGGGGCCAAATAAAGTAAACTTGCTATTAATGGAGTTTGTTTTTAGGTACAGACACCCTTGGGGTAATAACTGGAATAAATAATAGAGGAGCTTGATCAATACACTGGGGCCTCTATGAATCATGAAGGGGACCTTTGAATCCTCTGGCAGAACACACATACTTTCTACTAGTAATTCTGAGAGGTTATCTACTTCATTGTATTGGTCATTGGTTAGGCCTCATTTGAAGTATTGTTTTCAGTCTTGGGCTTATTACTTTCTGAAGGACATTGAACTTTTGGAAAAGATTCAAAGAAGAGTTACTAGGATGATACCCAAGATGGAAAGGTTGTCGTATGAGGTCAGGCTAAGATATCTGAAACTGTTTTCTCTTGAAAAATGAAAAGTCCAAGGTACCTAATTCAGGTCTTCAAGATTACTGACAGAATTGATAGCATTGATGCATCATTTTTTTATTTTTTTTTTGTATTTCATGGTAAGAATGATAGGACAAAGGGGCACAAATATAAATTTTGACTAGGTTGGAGTCTTCATCAGATTAATTTCTTTTCTAATAGGTTGCCTCCAGATGTAGTGGATGCATTAAGTTTAAGGATGTTTATGTGTTGGTTAGATGAAAAAACCAAATACCTAGCTATTAATGTTGAAACTACTGCAACTTGTAGTTTTAGTCTGCAGTCTGAACTTTACAATATGAAGGTAGGAACAAATTTATACTACTAAAAAATGCTACAATATTGGCTAAAAATTTAAATTTTCATGAAAGCATGAACTTGAAGTGATTATTAACTAATAATTAAGCCTAAAATGATGCTCACATCGTTAGTCATATAACTGGAACTTATAGGCTACACTTACTCAAAATATTATAGCATACATGATATGAGAATTTTGGCCTACCTCTATGGAACATTCCTTTCCTTGTAAAATCTTCACTGAAATCAGCATAGTATTTAAACTTGTAAGCTGTATAACAAGTTACTGTTACGTTATAAAATTAAAATAGTACGCTCGATTTTTAATCTTCAGTTACTAGCGTTAATACTAACGGTGTTTCATAAACTAGGCGTACGTAAAGCCAGTTTTGTTGCACTGTTTCATCTCCTGTTTCCTTTTAATTCTGGGTTGGGCCAGAATTTTTATATTTAGTGAATTAGGCTTATGAGCTATAACGTTAGGTTTAGTGTTACTATCAATGAAGTATTACTTTATGTTACATTAATCACGCATACAGTCGTAAACGAAGCTGAATTGCTCGACTAAAGTAAGCAAATAAATTTTTCTAACAGTACTTAATACACTATCACAAGTTTCTTACAAGTTACAAATCAATAATAATTAAAACGAACTTTTGCAGCTATTGTTACACCACCAACTCAAATGAATTGCCTGCCCTCTAGTAGTCGAACTTAAAATATGATAATGGCTGGAGACGGCTTGAATGGGTAATGAA